AATAAACCCTTTGTTAAACTAATTTGACTTTATTCCGACTCTTTTTAAATTTGTTGTAATTTTTCCCCCCTATTGAGATGCATTGAATAGGTTTCAATTCATTTCAGTTGGGGAACTGCGTTTCGCTTAGCGATGTTTCCTATGGCGATTTTCGCTTAAGGACGGCAATCCGGTTTTCAGTGCATCTCTATGGGAAAACGCGTTTCACTTAACGATGTTTTCCCATAGCGATGATTTTTTTGGAACCAATTAAAATCGTTAAGCGAGGCACCACTGTATTATTATTATTATTATTATTATTATTATTATTATTATTATTATTATTATTATTATTATTATTATTATTATTATTATTATTATTATTATTATTATTATTATTATTATTATTATTATTATTATTATTATTATTATTATTATTATTATTATTATTATTATTATTATTATTATTATTATTATTATTATTATTATTATTATTATTATTATTATTATTATTATTATTATTATTATTATTATTATTATTATTATTATTATTATTATTATTATTATTATTATTATTATACTACTACTACTACTACTACTACTACTACTACTACTATTAAGAAATAATTCCTGGATTCAGCTGATTTACTATGGGACTAAAAGCAAGTATTACTTTTACAGTATGAACCAACCTTTTTTTGAACTTAGGTTTTAAAAAACAGAAGTCAATAAAATAACCATATTTGCTTCATGCCTGTCCTGAACCAGGAGACACATTACAGTATTCTGAATGTGTATACAGGCACTCCTCACTTAACAACTGAGTTCTGTTCCTATGACTAGGTCGTTAAGCAAACTGGTTGATAAATGAGGAGCAATAATACTGTACAAAACAGTAATAAATAACGTGCTGTGGAGAAGGGGCATGGTAAAGATGCAAGCACACATTTATGAAGGTCGTAAATCTGAGCAGTCATTAAACAGGTAAATTATTAAGTGAGGAGTGCCTATATTGACAAGATATGGGGACGAGCTGCCTAAATAGCGGTTCGTCTTGGTTCGTGGTTCATCCAGTTTCTGTCAGCCTAGGCTTTTCTCTCTGCCTCTGAGGATGGATAGAAAAGGTAAATATTCATCCCTTCATATTCATTAGGGTCTCTGGAATTCATGAATACAAAGCAACAAATATTTGACAAATCAGCAATTTTCTACAAATATCACAATTCAGTTTTAATTCATCCCCATGTCTAATGTTGACTGCATATTGAGTTGTTTTTCTAATTTTCACATATGAACAATTCTAAGACAAACTATTCTACATCTGTTATTTAAAATAACTTCCTGAGAAGTTGTCTCATTTTTCTAGTCCAACAGTTCCTTGGTTCGTAGAGACAAGGTAATAGAAAATACCTGTGAATGAGATTCCACTTTGTGGTCTTTATTAGGAGAAGCAGATTATGATGGGTACTTGGACACTACATGTCTGTTCTTACCTCTTGGATCTCAGCAAGCAAGTCCAAATTTATTTCTATGAAGTTTCTCAAACTGCTGTGATCTACCGTTTAGCAGTAATTTTTAGGTAAAAGGTCAAGGTTCCCCTTGACATTTAGTCCAGTTGTGTCCGACTCTAGGGCCCGGTGCTCATCCCTGTTTCCAAGCCATAGAGCCAGCGTTTGTCCGAATACAGTTTCTGTGGTCATGTGGCCAGCGTGTCAAGACACGAAATGCCATTACCTTCCCATCGAGGTGGTACCTATTTATCTACTTGCATTTGCATGCTCTCGAACTGCTAGGTTGGCAGATGCTGGGACAAGCGACAGGAGCTCACTCCATCATGTGGATTCGATCTTACAACTGCTGGTCTTCTGACCCTGCAGCACAGAGGCTTCTGCGGTTTAACCTGCAGCGCCAACATGTCCCCTAGCAGTAATTTTTAGTTCTGCCTTTATTTTTACATAAAAATTGCTCCAGTCTTGATACAGACTTTTACATTTTTACTTTGTATAGTTAATAAAGGTACATTTTTAGTCCAGTTGTGTCCGACTCTAGGGCGCGGTGCTCATCCCGTTTTCAAGCCATAGAGCCAGCGCTTGTCCGAAGACAGTTTCCATTGCCACATGGCCAGTGTGACTAGGGAATGCCATTTTACCGTCCCACCGAGGTGGTGCCTATTTATCTACTCGCATTTGCATGCTTTCGAACTGCTGGGTTGGCGAGGAGTTGGGACAAGCAATGTGGATTCAATCTTACGACTGCTGGTCTTCTGACCCTGCAGCACAGGCTTCTGCGGTTTAGCCCACAACACCACCATGTCCCTACAGTTACTAAAATACATTTTCATAATAAAAAAAACAATCCTATTTATTTATTTGCTTATTAAATTGCATTATTGGGATAGAATTCCTGATTAAAACCATTAATTAAAATGATTTTTTTGAATGAAAATTTTCCACTATGCTGTCAGAAACAAACTGAGACAGTCAGATGTCCTGTAGCTTTGTTTGCACTCTGAGCTCCTTAAATAACCTAGAAACATTACCTCTCCCTGATGTTCCTAGTACATGAGGTGACTTTTTTGCTCCTGGCCCCAGGGATGGAAAGATCAGCCAGTCTATAAAGGCAGGGGGACATTTCCAGTAGGAGGGAGACAGGGTGTTAAAGCCTCATCATACTCCTTCTTCTGCCTCTTCTGGGTTTGCTCAGCAGTGGGGGAAGAGCACTGGAGCAGCATAATTAGGACATCTTAAAAGTGGCACAATAAAAATAAAGTTCTTGCCCATTTAAACCCAACAGTCGTCTCATCTTTTATTAACTGGGTACAAGTGCAAACAAGTATATTAATTAGCCAAACCATACTTTTGCAATGTTGACATTTTAGAAGGAGTCTGATTGAGAACAGGTAGGATTGCTTCCCACTAATCTGTTTCTAGTAACTCTTGCATAGTTACTGGGGAGTAAGTCCCACTGAACAAAGTGGGACTTGAAGTGACTGTAGATGAATTCATCCTTTGCAGAACCTGCATTATAATGAGGATAAGACTGATTATATAAATTTTACATAGAATTAAGATCCACATCGTATGATGTTTCTCTTTTGCACATTACTTCTATATATAAAGCCCAGTTAAAATTAAAAAGAAAAAGATTCAGGTAAGTACAAAGTTTAAAGTACAAAGCCAATAATCAGTACAAACCCAACACTATAAACCCAGACAAATACAAAAGAGGGTGTAGTCTTTAAAACACACATGTTTAACTGTTAGCTTTCCTAAGCTTTTGAAAAGGAATAAGGGCAAGGAAGAATGCCAAGGGGTGGCATAAGAAGCCACGGAATGTAAAACATTGTAAAACTGCTCAGAAGAATAAGACTTACTTATGTCTGTTCACACCTGTGAATAACTGATAGCTTTAATATATTAACGATTAATGTGCAGCACAGGAAATCAACATTCTAAAAGGCAATTCTAAAAATGGGGGGCAGCTCAAACAAACATGTATAACTGGACTTTGGATCAGCATCAGATTTGGCATATATGTAGCAGGCAGTTTGCTCATGCTCTATACCAAATTTGGGGGAGTTTGGGGCAAAGGGTTTTCAAGTTATGATTTTTTTTTTAATGTAAAAGTGTTCCTCTAGTGCAGAAACAAGAAACCTTAAATATCCCCAGATTTAAAATAGCTCATACAAACTGAAAAGACCAATCTTACTTACTTAAGAAAATGCTTGGTCAATGCTTGCTTTTCTTTTTTTAAAATTTGGAAAGAATCTAAGCTGCTGCGTGAAATATTGATCCTCAGAAAAAGGTGTTTCAAAAGGGAAAAACAATCACTTTGTTATAAGACTGAGCAAGTGTGGAACTGGTTTATTAGTAAGAGTATGACAATATAGATACTTTGTTGCCACTTCATGGGCCTGGAAAGGAGATTTTGGAGGGCAGTGAAAGGTCACAGAGTCAAAAGACAGGTTGAAAAAGTTTTTTTTTTAAAAAAAAAAACAGGTTTCCTTAATTTTTTTAAAAAGCAGGCTTGCTTTAAGTAAAGTAATGGAGTGACAGTACTCTCAAAAGAGAGATTTTGCTATATATCTCCAGAGAATTAGAATATGATTTTGTAAGGAGTATTTCTGCATTACAAAAAGCACAGTTAGTTTGTCCCAGCCTGAGTGTTTTCAGTAAACATTCTCTCTGGTTTTCTGAGGCTCCTGATTCAAAGGGGAAATCAGCACTAGGTCTGGGTCAATCTGAACTTTTGACTCTGTCAGTCAGGACCCTGTTAGCTGACTCTCAGAAGGAGAAATGTTTAACTCCTTCCTGGCCAAGCAGAGATTCATGCTGAGAAAGAGATTCTGCGTCTGGTTGTAAAAATATTTTAAAATACTGTAGTTCTGCTCAGGCCTTGCAGACTAACAAGTGCTGCTTCCTTTATCGAGACAGTTTGTGTCATGTTAGGTTTTAATCTCTTCCTAATGTCCCACTACCACTTCTTCCAGCAATATTGTATTTTCTGGTCAGTTCTATTTTTTTTTTTCATTATATGTGTACGGTAGGATAACTTCAGTTGACTCATATTTGCTATAATGAGAGTAGATGCTTGACTTGACTGAGCATCCACTTTTCTGCCATTCTGTTTGTGATATTGGTAAACCTCTCTTTCAACACCACATTTCCAGTTAGTTGATTTTTGACCCTGCATTTTTTCACATAATATGGATGATTTTGATATTCGTTCTAGTGATAACGTTTGCTAACTTCCAGCTCTTTTTAATTTCAAAAGGTGATGGGACATATTTTGGAAAACATACACACAAAATGTCTGTAGAGCATTTGGGCTGATTTAGCTTTTCTTCCTCAGGTTGCCTATCCCAAGGAAAGGGTTTGGAAATTAGACCATAGCTTTGTAGTCTATATTCTGTGGTGTGGGCATGATAACATTTGTTTACCCAAGAGGTAAAATGATGTGTACATTTCTCCATTGTATGTATTCTACCTAATCACACCTTTGCTTCATGATTTCATTCAGTACAAAACAGCCCTTCAAAATATTTTGGCACAGAGGGACTCGAGCCACAACCCAGCTGTTCTTGCTCGTTTTCTCTCCCAGCAGCCATAGTACAGATAATGTGTTAATCTGGGATCTGCTAGCAGTGGGTAAATTCTACATGGGGGATGGTTTTGTTGGAATCTGTGTATAGTGTATGTATACTTCAGTTTCCATTTTAAAGAGCCATGGAATTCAATTCTTCAATAAACCTCCAGTTTCTGGAGGTGGGATATTGTGCTTCTGTATCCTTGATTCAAAATGCCAGGAAATGGCCCAATTTTGCTGCACAATATTGTGCCTACATTGCCAGAAGGAAAAAGGATGCTAAGCTTTATATAGCACAGGGAAGCCTAAATTGTGACATCACCAGTGGCAGCATCAAGATGGTCCTACAAGATATTCTCTTGGGCTCACTGCCATTCACATTTATAGAAAAACAACCCTGGCAGTTGGTTTGTGAGAAATGGTTACTTGATGGAAAAAGGAGTTGCTTCTGGTATTTTCCCTTGCTTGGTGTCATCTTATGAATAGTAGTCAGCCATTCAAAGCTGCTCCTTTGCTATGTAAAGTTTGGCATTCTTCCTACTGGCAATGTGGTTGTGATATTGCATGATAATATCAGGCCATTTTTTGGCATTTTGAATTTTGTGTTCAAAAGCATAATATCCCACATTCATAAATCAGAGGGTTTTTTTAAAAAAAGAATGAGATCCTACTAAGAAAATTTATTTACACGAGCCATTCAAAGCTGCCCCTTTGCTATGTAAAGTTTGGCATTCTTCTTACTGGCAATGTGGTTGTGATATTGCATGATAATATCAGGCCATTTTTTGGCATTTTGAATTTTGTGTTCAAAAGCATAATATCCCACATTCATAAATCAGAGGGTTTTTTTAAAAAAAGAATGAGATCCTACTAAGAAAATTTATTTACACTAGACCCAAAGAACTAACCACTAAAATGACTGAGATATGCTTTACAGTGATTGTTACATGTGTTACCTGTAGTGACCTGTAGTAGGATAGCACTAACACACTGCATCAATTATATTTTTTTAAAATGGAAACTTTCTCCTGGAAGCAGGAGAAGAAAGGTGGCAAAAGGAGGCGGAATTTTGTTGTTGTTTCATTTTCAACATGGAAATGAGCCAAATGGGGTCAGTTGAGGTGAGTATGCCATTTGGATGCAAGGATCGTATCAAATGGCATACTGATCTCTACCCAAACTTGCTATTTCAGTTGTTGTGGTTTACTAGTCCTTCCTTAATCTTTCCCTTTATCCAAATTCCATGGGTATGTACAATTAAAGACAAGAGGATATTAAAATGTTTACTTAATTTATATATATATATAAATTTTTCTGGTAATGTCCTGTTTAGTTTGCCAGGGAATATAAAAGGTTATTTTAGAATCCATTAGCTAGATGAAGAACATCTACAAGACTTCCAAACTGAAAACTAAAGAAATTCTGAAGGCAGAACAAAATCAGTTTTGAAGTTAGAGATCCTCAGAAGTAATTTGGAAACACATAGGATAGACATAAGAGAACATCTGTAAGGCCTTTAAATTATTTCAAGGTGTACACTGAAAGAATGTGCACTGAATGTACCTCAAAAGAATAGTTCTAATATTTCAAACTGAGAGGTTCTAAATGTGTATTAACTCTGTATTCTTGTATTAGATTTCAGTGATTAGAGGAACATACTTGGGCCTGGAGTACATGAAAAATGAAAATGGAGGCAGTGGAGGGGCAATTGTTAATATAGCATCACTAGCAGGTAAGAGAGCTTTATGTTTTATTTTTTTATTTTATATTTTATGTCTTGTGTTTCCAGGCTTCAAAGAAACTTACATAAATTGCTAAATATAGCCAAAATCCTATTGTTTAAGTTATGTCTTCAGAAGTACAACAACATTACTGGCAGGGGGATATTTTCATTAATTAAAGTCTCCACCTTCTCTCTCATGGCTTGTCCAAATTGCAAGTAATCCATTTTATTACATAGAAACTGAAAGTCATGAGGCAGAGTGGGGAAATTTTTAATTACCAAAAAAACTCTGTCTTGGCTGGTAATGTCATCTGGCAGCAGAGACTGTTGGTGTTTGAATTTCTGTTGATAATGCTGCTGAGCTCAGATATGATGCTAAGCTTGGAATGTGGGCATCAGTTTTTCAGCTTTATCCTTGACCCTCACTGGGTCTTGAAAGGTTTACAGAGACTATGTTTAAATGATCCTTTGTGTCAGTGATACAAAATAAAATGAGCAAAAAGATGAAGAAGAAAACCAAGGAGCAGTCCTCTCAGCCCCTGTAGCAACCGCAACCATAAGTTTAAATACCAATTTCTGTGAGAACAATAACACAACTTCCAGCTGAGATAATTATACTCCCTCCTCCACTACTGCCCATTCTCTCTGGGCAAAATGTACTGGATGATGCATTAACGATTGTCTGATAACTGCTTCTACGGTGCAGGAAGACATTCATTCTAGTAAGCCTAAGCAACTACTGATGTGTGACTGCTGCATCTCTTCCTTGGATCAGTTCAGATCATCCTAGCATCAGTCTGCCAAATTCCAGTGTTTTTCCAGAACAGTATTGCTCTGCAGGAAAGGTAGCAACTGTGCCTCTCCAGATGCTTTTGGAGTACAACACTGGCTATCCCTCATCATTATGTGTTGACTAGTTGCTGATGGGATCTAAAACATCTGGAGGGCTACAGTTCCCACAGCTGCTCTAGAGGGGCTAACTGTGGATCCTTGGGATGTGCAACTCAATATCTCTTTGGCATAAATATTCTCACTGTTCTTTATATACTTTGGTTGAAAATAACTGAAAATGTGGCTCCTATTAGTACTCTCTCCATGATGATCCTTGGTATTGTATTTTGTTTTTGAGCCAAGACTGCAGCTATGTCAGTGTCCCAGTAATTCACTGTCAATACTCTGTAATTATCTCCATGTCATCATAAGGTCACCTCTACTATTCCTGTATTGTCAGTGCAAACCTAGTAACATTGCCCATCCTATAAGTGGGATTGCAGTTTGCAGTTAATAGGATTTGGTAATTCAGTATTGTCTTCAGTATCTATGTCCATCCTTCTGTCATGCATCTATGGGAGAACTAAGCTCCTCTATAATCTACCAAAAACACTACAAACTTGGGCAACATGTCGCCCTCCAAACAGCAACACTTAGCAGCCTTCACCAGCATAACTAATAGTGAGGGACTTTGGGAATTGTGATCCAACAATATGTAGAGGGCTACAGGTTGCCCTCCCTGAATTTAAACCTAATGTAAAGCAATTGCTGAGAATGGTCTTTGTTTAGTCCTAAGATCAAGCGAACAGCGTCTCTTGAAAAATAATCTATCTACTCTTCTATAAGGCAAAATGAGCACATTTTGCTGCCTTTTGTCTCTCAGGATTTCAGTGTCTTATGCTGCCCAGTGTAGTGTGCATTACATTTTTTTATTTTGTTAAAAGCAGAAAGCCTTAATATTTTGCCTCTTTCATAAGGTTTGCTTGTAGGAAATGTCTATTTCATACTTTGCATGACAATATATTTAATTTTTTTCCTAAATGATAGTCAAAGTTTCTTTCATAAAGAAATAATCAAGAATCCTTATAGAAAATTCCATATGCAAACTCTGGAATGTGTTTTTTAACTGTCATCTGTGTTCTCATATTTGGAGTGTAAGCTACAGCTATAGTGTGCTTATTATAGCACTCTGTTATTGTTATGTGCTGTCAAATTGCCTCCAACTCATGGTAACCTGATGAATGAGAGATTTCCAAAATGCCCTGTCCTCAACTGCCCTGCTCAACTCTTGTAAACGAAAACCTGCTGTGGAGCATTCTAGCCATGATATATTGTCGTAATATTTATGGAAGAAAATGGGATTTTATAAATATGTTTGTTTGTTTGTTTGTTTCTGCAGATAGACTTTAAAGAGATAGGCAATGTTGTTACATTTTTAGGAGCCATATTCTGACATATAAATAGTTTTAGGCAGCAGTACTACACACACACACTTTGAGAAATTGTATTGAAAGAAATGGCATTTATGTTAAAGGAGACATGTATTATGCTGCTGGTATAGTGTAACAGAACTGCTAATAATAAAAAGTTAAGGCCTTGGAATGTTTGTCTTATCACTGAACTTCCTGCTGATTATAGTGCTTGAAACTATGTGTCCATTAAAGCATTATTATTTCCAGTTGAAGTAAGGGATTTTATAACAGCAAAAAAGAAAATAAAATCCCACAGAGATGCCAAAACACCGATAGTACAAACAACAGAGAAAGGATCAGGGCATATTTCAGCCAAGAACTTGTGAATGAGAATTCATACTGCCAACCTAAAAGAGAAAAAGCAAAAGCAAAAAGCAAAGAGTGCTGCTTATATACTGCCCATAATGCTTCAAGCACTCTCTGGGCGGTTTACAAGTTTATTATGCAGGCTACACATTGCCTCCCCAGCAAGCTGGGTATTCATTTTACCGACCTCGGAAGGATAGAAGGCTGAGTCAACCATGAGCCGGCTACTTGGGATTGAACCCCAGGTCGTGAACACAGTTTTGGCTGCAGTACAGCAGTTTAACCACTGCGCAGGTGAAGAATTGGATTTACCAGTTTATACAGACCTTCAGAATTAAAGTTCCAATCTAACTTTTTATGTTCTAGTTAACCGTAAATATTAATTATAGCATATGTAACTTGGGAAATGCAAATAAGTACACTTTCAATGTGTTTCTGGCAAGGCTGACCAGTAGTGATACCTCCTCATGGCCCCATTACTAGCACTGCACAGCTATGTGCCATTTTACAACAATCCAGAACATGTTTATTTTAAAATGGCAGCATCTGAGTTATGTTCAAAGGAGCACTGCTGCTGGGGTAGTCCCTTGTGAGCTAAAGAAACCATGCAAAAGTCACTATTTTAAGGGAACTCCTAAGTCTAGAGCACCCCTTGACATCCAGAGAGTTCTTAGTATTTAGCTGAGCAAGCTTGCAGAAGAATATGAATACAAATGTAGGTTTGAATGCTCCATTTAGACAAAATCATGGCATAAATAATGTAGATACTAAGTTGTACAACCTATTCTTTTCTAATATTAACACTATTGGTCACATGAATCCAACAGTCACCTTACAGGACTGACTGTTTGCATACATATTAGCTTCACTTTTGTCAATTTCTGTTTGCCAATCTCTTCTTTTCATTCTTTACTATCAAAGTACAAAATGGTGAAACTGTCTGTCTTTTTTAGATGTACACACATTTATCATTCGAAAAACATACTACGTTAGATCCAAATTCTTTTTTATTGCCAAAGTGTCCTATATGTTGTCTCAGAATTCTCATGTAATATTTTCAGAGGAAGCAATCTTTCTAGTTTTTCCCTATACCATCTCTTCCAGAGTGTTCTGATGGACCCCCAAACTTCCTCTTGGAGACATATGGAACTTCAAGGTGAAGGGGAAATGACAAAGAACAACATCCAATCTAGTGCTACTTTGTCAGAAGTTTCCCACAGAAGGAAATAGTTTTTCTCACCCAAAATACATATTCTGTAAATAATGAGGGGGATAATGGATGTTCTATTTTTCTAATTTAGTTTGCAAATGAAAAATCTGACATTATGATACTGAAGACATTTACTTTATATCCACCAAACCAAATTATACTAGTTTGATGGTGGTGGCTGGAGTCTATTTTAGACAAAGCAAGTGCTCTAACTAGACCACAACTAAAAACTCATCCTAGTGCATACTCAGGTGGGAAATTTGTTCAGTGTTTTTCTTTTTATTCCTTCATTTGAAGTTCCCTTTCTCTCCGTTATTTCTTATCTTGAGGTTTACTCTACATAGCATTATTCTGATTTCTTTCATGTCCTTTCCCTAGTTTTCAGCAGACTGAAAACAACTTTGCATATCTGAAAATGCAGATTGTGATTTATTTAAATATTTTTGTACTTCTGAAATGTTTTTAAAAGGTAGCTTTGAGTGCTCAGTCAGTTGAAAAAGTAATATGGTACAGTAATATAATGTAGTAGCATATATAATAATATGCCGTTATGTTGATTACAACTTCTGGCAATTCCACTAGGGATTCTGGTTATAAAGTACTCTGAAGTGGTTTACCAGTCTCTCCTTCTGGTACTGCTTTGGGATAGTGCAGTTTGCCCAAGACCATACAGGTAGAAAGGGCAAGTAACCTTATCAGCCACTAATGATCTTGGCTGGCCGCACACTGAATATTTGACCTCCTACACACACCAGCCCCACTAAGCTATAGCAATATAAAAATAATCCATCTTTGCTCTTCAACTTTTTCACAACAACAATGCCCTAGATACCTCCTGTTCAGATTACTGTAATGGGGATTTTGTGGGATTTACTTTCAGAGAAATGAATGGATGCTTCAGCTGGTCCAAAATGCTACAGCTAGACTGTTGACCAGTGCAGTTACATGAAGTTACACAGCTCCTTTTTGTAATAGCTCCAGTGGCTAACAGTCTGTTTCCATGCACAATTCAAAGTATTTGTTATGACCTATAAAAGCCATACAGAGCAACTCCAAGATATTTGAAGAACTGTATTCTCCTCAAAAAATCTACCTGGGCCAAAATTTGAGATATACAGTAAGGTCTTCTCTCACACACCCTGCCCCTTGCAAATGTGTGTTTGGTGAGGATATGAGACATGGCCTTCACTATGGCTGCTTCTGGTCTGTGGAATTCTGGATTCCCCATTTTCCACCAGTTCTTGCTATCAGACGAAGATCTTAATATTATAATTTATTTAGTTGTGTTGTAATAGAACACTTTGTTGTGTCATTAATTGCACCTGATTTCAAAATTCTTTTTGTGAGCCACCTTGAGCCACAATTCTGAGCTAAAGGTAGGATTTAAATGAAATAATCAGTACATTTCAGTCAAACAGAAGTATTGTTGATTCAGAACATTTTTTAAACATTTCACATGTATTATTTATCAGAATTGAAATGAATTTTTGATTAATATTTGTGATCTTTTCTTTTGTTTGTTAAAGGACTTCTGCCTGTTGCATACCAACCAGTGTATTCTGCTTCAAAGCATGGGGTAATTGGATTTACACGTTCAATAGCTGTGAGTATGAGCAGCTGAAGAATTCTCATAATTTCCTTCAACCACGCATTCTTATTTACCATTTTCTTGATATATCAAGCTTTTGCATTGTTCATCTCTCAGTTATCTTGGCATTTTACCTGATCAATGCATTTGTGTACTTTACAAGTAAAACTATTTTTGGTTTTCATAATCTAATTATTTAAACTTTTTAATGTATCTCAAGTTATTTGAATAAAATGAAAACAATGTTAAGAAAAATATTTGATTGACGTGGTAAAATGGGCTCAAAATATAGGTCATAATCTAGAACTAAGTGCCTGGTCACAAATTTGGGAACGAAATATTAAAATGACTAAAATCTATAAATCTAAAAGATAATATATACAAAATGTTTTACAGATGGTATGTAATACCAGAGAAATTAACAAAAATGTATAAAAATGTTTCTAATAACTGTTGGAAATGTGAAAAGGAAGTAGGGAGCTGCTATCATATGTGGTGGATATGCAATAGGGCCAAGGACCTTTGGAAAATGATTCATGAAACGATAGAGAAAAATTTAGGGGTTAAAATTTCTTTGACACCAGAAATGTTTTTATTGAATATATTACCAGCTATACTTAAAAAAAAAAAAAAAAAGACTTGACCTTACACCTGATAACTGCAGCTAGAATTGTATATGCCAATAAGTGGAAGACTACAAAGGTGCCGACGAAGAAGGAATTTATTGAGAAGATTTTGGAACTAGCAGAAATCGATATTTTGACAGATACACTAAATGATAGACTGGATAATAATAAATGGGAACCTCTTTATATCTGGATGAAACCTGCACCAATTTAAGTAGAATAGATTAGATTAATATTAAGTTAGAGAATATAAGACAAGATGAAATGAATGGAACATACTGTAATAAATCACTCTGGTTGCAATGGATAGAAAAGCAGAAAAAAATACAATATTTATTAAAAAAAGAAAAACATTTGATTGGCAGCAGCATTAATGTGTAGATGATGGGTTAATTCCAGCTCACACAAAAATCTTTTGTAGCGTGCCTAGCTTATATGGCTATTGAGTAAGATGTGGATACATTTGCCTACCTTAGAAAGGTATTGCATTAACTGTGTGGCAAATGCTGATCAAGCAATGTGGATATCTTAGCCACCTACCAAGCAACAGCAACTAATTTGATTGGTACTCCATTGAGGGACAATGGGCAAGTCTATTGTCCCTTCTCCACCTGCTTTCCTCTATTAGTATACTAATAATGATATTAGACTGTAAATTCCAGAAATTACCTGGAGGGAGACAAGAACTATTATAGCTTGTGTACTTTCCTTTTTCTTCTGATATCAGCTATATAAATATTTCTAGATAGAAAAGCTATTTTAGGATAATAGAAGGACATGGATAACTGATGAGCAAACTCGGATGCAAATATAGGTAAGATCTGGCCAGAGCCTGCAAATTGTCCATTAGATTTATGCTATATCCCTTCTTCCTCCATGTACTGCACTCCAGATGTTAGACTGCCAAGATTTGTGATGGCTGGCCACACAGATTGGAAGACATGGAAGTTTCAATACTAAACATTTGGAGGCCCCCATGTTGGTTAAGTCATGATCAGTCTAAAAAAATAGCAAATACTGAAGTCATGGCTCAAATTGTTGTTGGAAATTTTAGAGATGAGCAGTTTTTTTCACTTCTTAAGATAATTTCATTCTCTTTCATTCTAACATAGTAGAAAACTTACCTTGAGGACTGAACCTGGGTCTTTCTGTATACAAAGCCACATACTATCCCAACAACATTTAATACATCTGACTCTTTTGTAGATGGCTGCCACCATAGGAAACTATGGTGTACGGGTCAATGCAATCTGCCCTGGTTTTGTCAACACACCGATTCTTCAATCAATTGACAAGGAAGAAAATATGGGCCAATACTCAGCATATAAACAAAACATCAAAGATATGATTAAATTCTACGGTATAATAGAGTGAGTACGCACACTACTATTTGATGTCTAAGTAAAATTGTAAAAGAAGAAAATGGAGAAGCAGACACCAGAAGCTGTGATCATAAAGGCTACAGTTTTCTATAAAGTACCTCATATAACATGATAGCTATTAAAACTTAGGATCAGTCTGGTGTTCAGTTTCTTTATACCCTGCATCCTCTCTCTTTGTAACTACCATTAGGATTCTATAAGCCTACAGGTTCTTTTCAGGTAGCTTGGTTGCCCTAATTCTTATTTTTTAATTTGCAAAATGCACATTCTTCTGCATACATATAGATATCACCTATATACGGTATAGGTACCATATATAGAGTTGGACAGCGAACCAACTTTAGCAGAAATTAAAAGCGGCCTTGAATTCCCTCGCACCTGGGAAGGATAACATCCCTGCTGAAGTGCTGTAAAGAGATCATCACCACCAAGTTGTATGAAATCTTTTGTCTTTGCTGGAGGGAAGATGGAGTACCACAGGAAATGAAGGATGCAAACATATAAGAACAAAAAAGACGGGGGGACTGCAATAACTACCGTGGCTGGGAAGCTGCTTGCCCGTGTTGAAGTGGGGTTGTTGTTGTGTTGAAGAGACTCCAGGTGCTTGCAGACAGAGTCTATCCAGAATCACAGTGTGTCTTTCAAACTAATAGATCCACCACTGACATGGTATTTTCCCTCAGACAGTTGCAGGAGAAATGTAGGGAACAATGAAAACCTCTCTTTGTGGCCTTCATAGATCTTACAACGGCCTTTGATTTGGTTAGCAGGGATGGCCTTTTTAAAATCCTTCCCAAGACTGGATGCCCACCTCGACTCCTTAACATCATCAGGTCCATTCATGAGGAAATGAAGGGCACTGTAGTTTTTGATGGCTCAACATTAGATCCCTTTGACATCCAGAGTGGTGTGAAACAGGGCTGTGTACTTGCACATCTGTTTGGGATCTTTTTTGCTGTCATGCTGAAACATGCTGTCATGCTGAAACTGCAACAGAAGGTGCCTACCTCTGGAGTAGATCAGATGGAAAGCTCTTTAATCTCTCTAGATTGAGAGTGAAGACCCAAGTCCAGCTGAAATGCATGCAGGATGTCCTCTTCACCTATGACGCAGCTGTTGTTGCCAAGAGTTTGAGTTAACAATCAGCCTGAAGAAAACACAAGTCATGGGCCAGGGTGTGGACTCACCTCCCTCTATTACTATCTCCATGCAAGAACTGGAGGTTGTTCATGAATTTGTGTACCTTGGCTCAA